TTTATGCCAAGTTCCTGTGAGTGTTCAGGTAGCCATCTTGATGAGGGGCTTTTATATAAGGGATCCCATTTCATTCGGGTGTGCTTTTGGATGAGTGGCAGACTAAGGAAATGCCCACTGCTTAGGGACTTAGCAAAGGAAAAGGTTCCTGGCGGGCAGGGATAGTACAGGAGGCAGTTTCCAGTGCCAGAGGTTTTCATGGTCATACAATATATTACCACCCCTCCAATAGAGGCTGTCCTCCGGTAACATTACTGTGTGTTACACTGCAGAGAGTACACCCCTCACATTTTTTTTGTAAATATTTTATTATATCTTTTCATATAACAACACTGAAGAAATGACACTTTGCTACAATGTAAAGTAGTGAGTGTACAGCTTGTATAACAGTGTAAATTTGCTGTCCCCTCAAAATAACTCAACACATCGCCATTAATGTCTAAACCGCTGGCAGCAAAAATTAGTACACCCTAAGTGAAAATGTCCGAATTGGGACAAATTAGCCATTTTCCCTCCCAGGTGTCATGTGACTCGTTAGTGTTACAAAGTCTCAGGTGTGAATGGGAAGCAGGTGTGTTAAATTTGGTGTTATCGCTCTCTCACTCTCTCATACTGGTCACTGGAAGTTCAACATCTCACCCCATGGCAAAGAACTCTATGAGGATCTGAAAAAAAGAATTGTTGCTCTACATAAAGATGGCCTAGGCTATAAGAAAATTGCCAAGACCCTTAAACTGAGCTGCAGCACTGTGGCCAAGACTATACAGCGGTTTAACAGGACAGGTCACACTCAGAACAAGCCTCGCCATGGTCGATCAAAGAAGTTGAGTGCACGTGCTCAGCATCATATCCAGAGGTTGTCTTTGGGAAATAGAAGTATGAGTGCTGCCAGCATTTCTGCAGAGGTTGAAGGGGTGGGGGATCAGCCTGTCAGTGCTCAGACCATTCTCCGCACACTGCATCAAATTGGTCTGCATGGCTGTCATCCCAGAAGGAAGCCTCTTCTAAAGATGATGCACAAGAAAGCCCGCAAACAGTTTTCTAAAGAGGAGCGCAAGGTCTCTAACATCCACCAGCTCTGTGATGTCGTCATGGAGGAGTGAAAGAGGACTCCATTGGTAACCTGTGAAGCTCTGGTGTACTCCATGCCCAAGAGGGTTATGGCAGCGCTGGAAAATAATGGTGGCCACACAAAATATTGACACTTTGGGCCCAATTTAGACATTTTCACTTAGAGATGTACTCACTTTTGTTGCCAGCGGTTTAGACATTAATGGCTGTGTGTTGAGTTATTTTGAGGGGATGGAAAATTTACACTGTTATACAAGCTGTACACTCACTACTTTACATTATAGCAAAGTGCCATTTCTTCAGTGTTGTCACATGAAATGATATAATAAAATATTTACAAAAATGTGTGGGGTGTACTCACTTCTATGAGATAATGTATATGTGCTTGCGTGTGTGTGTGTTGTTTCCTTCTGAGTGGGAACCTTGACTATGACCCTGTTATCTTAAAAAAACCTGCACTATAAAATATAGAGACTGCCATAGATGACCTTCCTTTAAAATGCTCATTACCTGGTTATCTGTGGTCACTAACCCGCAACAAGCAAGCAGCTTGTGTAGACAGAAAAAAAAAATCAGAATTTCAAATTTACATACTTGCTCTAAATTAGAGAATCAGAAGGTAGATAACAGCCAATCAACTAGCATTTTTAAAATAGATCTCAGCATTGGTTAATTACTGTACTGTATGTATTTTCTGAACAGCATTCCTACCAGGCATTATACTGACACACACTGTCACATAACATGTCGAGTAATGACTGTACATGCTAGAGATAATAGTATTCTTTTACCATCTTTGTAAAGATTACCAACAAGAGATTGTGAAAGATAAAATTGATTTGAATTGCTCTGCTGGATTTCAGCATGCTGGAGCAGTTCAGCATTTCAATTACCTTCGGCAACTGAAATGATTCTTGTAAATGGTAACTGGGGTTATGGAAACAATCCTTGAACCACAGCAATGTTTGACAATATAAATGTGTATTTGATCTGATATTGTATTGTATTCTACTATAATAAATATTATCTGGGGCACCGTTTCATAAACTGTGATCCATAGGTTTCTGGTGGCCCAAGGACATATGTCAGGTGGTGCCTAGTAATCAATGTATAGTAGGATGTGCTAAAATTAAAAGTGCAAAACAGAGGTGAAAAGTAGTAACAGATCAAAGAATATGAAGCCTGAAAATACAGAGCGAAGGTATGTGAGGCACTGAAGGAAAGTGGCATCAAGGTGTCAAGAGTCAATAAAGGCAGAGTGGGAAAAAAGGCTGCAAGAGTGTTGTCCATGTTTAACTGATTCACCACATCTTTGAGTTAGTACTCCATGGACTATAGAACTTTGGGAACCACTGATCTTAGTGGCAGGACATGGCCTATATTGATCTGTGCAAAGTCAAACACTAGGTATTTTAATTTCAAATCAAAGATCTGATTTATGTATCCATAACTTTAGTGGAAATCAAGATTATTAATATTATACAGTATTTATATAGCGCCAACAGTTTGCTCAGCGCTGTACATTATAATGGGAGACAGTACACGAGTCAGTACAGTAACAATACAATACAATACACGAGGGGTTCAAGGCCCTGGTCCTTGGAGCTTACAATCTAGGAGGGAGGGGATAGTGGTACAGGAGGAAATAGCTGTGGGGAATGGAGTGGTAGGAAGAGTGGAGGAGATCGGCAATTAGGTGAGGGCGGGGTAGGCTTCCCTGAAGAGATGGGTTTTCGGTGCGCCTAAAGGTGAGAGTAGGTGACAGTCTGATGGCTTGGGGTAGTGAGTTCCAGAGGATGGGGGAAAGCCCTGGAGAAGTCCTGGAGATGGGCATGGGAGGAGGAGACCAGGGAACTAGAGAGTAGGAGGTCTTGTGAGGAGCGGAGAGTACGTTTTGGGTGGTATATAATTTGGGGCAGTGTTATAGACCGCTTTGTACGTCAGTGTTAGTAATTCGTATTTTATGCGTTGGGCAATCAGAAGACAGTGGAGGGATTGGCAGAGGGCGGTGGCGGACACGGAGCGGTTAGTAAGGTGATGAGTCTGCCGCAGAATTCAGGATAGACTGAAGCGGGGATAGCCTGTGATGAGGTAAGCCGGTGAGGAGGGAGTTACAGTAGTCAAGTCGTGATATAATAAGGGAGTGAATGAGTTGCTTAGTAGTTTCTGGGGTTAGGAACGGAAGTATTTTGGAGATGTTGCGGAGGTGGAGTCTACATGAATTTGTCAGCGATTGGACCTGGGGCTGGAAGGACAGATTGGAGTCTAGAATGACACCTAGTACTCTGGCTTGCGGGGTGGGACTGATGGAGGCGTTGTTGGTCGTGATGGAGAAGTCAGGGGGGGGGGGGGGGGGGGGGGCGCGGGCTGGGGGGAAAACCTAGGAGCTCGGTTTTGAACAGGTTTAATTTGAGGAAGTGTAGTGACATCCAATCTGATATGTCGTTCAGTAGGCTAGTCTTACGGGCGGAGACTGAAGGGGTGAGGCGAGGGGTAGAAAGGTAGATTTGCGTGTCATCGGTGTAGAGGTGATAGTTGAAGCCGTGGGAGTGTATCAGTTGGCCAAGGGAGGAGGTGTAGATGGAGAAGAGAAGGGCCCGAGGACGGAACTTTGAGGGCCCCCAACAGAGAGGGGGAGTGAGGGGGAGGTGGCAGCGTTATAGGTAACACTGAAGGAGCGCTGTGATAGATAGGAAGAGAGCCAGGAGTGAGCGGAGTATCTGAGGCCAAGAGAGTATAGTTTTTTGAGGAGGAGGGGGTGGTCGACCGTGTCGAAAGCCATGGAGAGGTCGAGGAGTAGGAGCACTGAGTAGTGGCCATTAGCTTTGGCGGTTAGCAGGTCATTGGTGAGTTTGAGTAGGGCAGTTTCGGTGCAGTGTAGGGGACGAAAGCCAGACTGTAGGGGATCAAGGAGGTTGTTGTCAGTGAGGTGGGAACTCAGGTGATTATAGACTAAGGGCTAAAGGAGTTTGGATGTAAATGGCAGCAGAGTGATGGGTCTAAGGTTGTTTAGGTCGGTGGGATCCAAGGAGGGTTTTTTAAGTATGGAAGTTATGTGCGCGTGCTTCAGAGGGGAGGGGAATGCGCCAGTAGAGAGGGAGAGATTAAAGATGTGAGTGAAAACAGAGGTCATGTGATCACTTTTTTTTATGTATTTATAGTGTTTTTTTTATATATGTACACACATGTTTTGCCTTCCATTTTTTATTTTAAACCAAATGAGTTGTTTTACAAGGTTAGGGTTCACATATACTTAACTGTGAAAATAACAAAAAATAACAAATAAAATATTATATTATAGGTGGCCAGCAGTGGGGTTTAAGAAATGAAAGGGGGCAGAGTCAAAGTTTTAACCTAGAACCTGGATCAATATTCACATAGGAAAGTGACAAGGATTTACAGTGACCCAAGCTCAGCAAACACATTCTTGGTTTGGGCAATAAAGTGTCATCACAGGTGGCTGGGCAGACCTTTGATTTGGGCTGAAGGCTACATAGGTCTTGAAAAGGACCACAAAGGCCTTAGTATTTCCACAAAGGGAAAGAACAATGATTTTGGTCAATTTTATTTCACAAATTGTTAAAGTTTATAACTTTTACATATGCTTTATTATTTTAGTTTCCTATTGATATAAAATCTTTGTTTTAGAAATAACTATTAAAATAAATGCAAATCTGACACTGGTGTCACACAGCATTATGAGTTTTCCTAAGAGAGAACCTAGCAGAAGCTACTAACTTTCAGACTCTCTGTCGCTGACTGATAGTCTTAATTGCAACTTTTGAACAGAGTTATGAAGGGAAGATATGGGAATGAGTCACTGCTCTGACGTATAAATTTCAACTTGAGCTATGCAGCTGTCTGCACATTTTCCTGGTAATTTATTTCAGGCTATTACCAGATTTCTCCTTTGCTATTTTTTGTTGCAGGTGAATTCAAGGAGTGCACAATATTATTTAGTGATGTGGTAACGTTTACCAATATTTGTGCTCAATGTGAACCCATCCAGATTGTGGCCATGTTGAATTCCATGTATCTCCGCTTTGACAGACTAACAACAGTTCACGATGTATATAAGGTAATTCACTCTCATTATTGTACATAAAATTGCAGTATATGACCTGCCTTGTTTCCACAATCTATCACTCTTTTTGACTTTACATCTCTTTTTAACTCTAAAAACAACAAATATTATTTTATAGGTTGAAACCATAGGAGATGCTTACATGGTAGTGGGTGGTGTGCCCGTGCCTGTTTCTACTCATGCAGAAAGAGTTGCAAATTTTGCCCTAGGAATGATCCTTATGGCAAGAGAAGTAAAAAATCCAGTCACAGGAAATCCTATTCAGGTTTGGCAAATATTTCATATTTTATTTGGATATAAAATGATCAAGATATTCAGTGCTTTTCACTTCATACTATATCTGACCATCATTTTTTTATTCCAGTATTCAGTGAGCCTTCATTGCAATTAATATTTGCTATCTCTTAAGTATGGCCTTTGGCAAGGTGAAGTTTAATTTGACAATGAAGTCAGCATTTAAAAGGATCTCATTGACTTTAACATTAAATTAAATGTTGGTTTTCAACAGCATGGTGTAACTTAACCAGTTGCCATGGTTTCAATACTATACTTGTTTTCACACCTTTTTAGGCATTGCTACATCTCGTTGCCTCTGATCACCTGCAGCCTCTTTGCAGCCACCTTCTATCTAAATCTAGCTATTGCTGAATGCTATTTAACAGAGTGCAAAACACTAGAAATTGAGTCTGCCCTTTGAACACGGTACCTGCAGTAAATGATTGAAAAGTGAATTTTGTATTACGTTATAACTCCTATTTGGATACTGACAGAAATGTGTTACTTTATCTAATCAGTGAATTGCTGCATATATAAGCACTCTTCTGTAAAGATCTGTAAAAAGATAATCTCTAAATAGACTTTTGTGAATGATCAGATAAGCAGGTGACATTTGGCAGGTTTATATGTTGGTCACACTCACATATGCCATTTGGATTGTGGTTTTTAAAAATCACTCATGCACAGTTTGAGCAAGGTCAGGATGGCTTGTGCCTTTGTTAATATTTACTGAATGGCAACCTGGAACACACTGATTGGAATCCAGAGGAAAAGAAGCACACAAAATCATTTCTTGTATTAAAAGAGGTATGGAGCGCAGAGAGAGAGAGACATCATTTTGTCCCTGTACAAATCATTACTAAGACCTCATCTGGAATATGCAGTTCAGGCACCACTTCATAAAAAGCATTTTGGGAACTGGAGAAAGTTCAGAGAAGGGCAACCAAACTGATAAGAGGCATCGAGGAGCTCAGCTATGAGGAAAGATTAGCTGACCTGAATTTATGCTCTCTTGAGAAGAGGAGATTAGGGGGGATATGATCAGCATGTATAAATACATCAGTGGTCCATATAGTGAACTTGGTGTAGAGTTATTCACCCTGAGATCTTCCTAGAAGACAAGGGGGGCACTCTTTATGTCAGGAGGAAATAAGATTTCATCTCCAAATACGGAAAGGCTTCTTCATAGTAAGAGTTGTGAAAATGTGGAATAGACTTCCTCAAGAGCTGTTTCTGGCCAGCTCAGTAGAATGTTATAAGAAAGGCCTGGATTATTTTCTAAATGTACATAGTACAACTGGATACAAATATTTAGGGGTAAGGTTGATCCAGGCAATATCCGATTGCCTCTTGGGGGATCAGGAAGGATTTTTTTTCCCCTGCTGGGGGAAACTTTATCATGCTTTGCATTTGAGCAAGCTCCCTTTTTGGTTGGACCAGCTAGGCCGCATTCCACTCCCCTTGGCAAGAGCTGTCTTCAGTTCAGGCCTACTACCACTGACTCTCCTCTGCATTGACTGTAAGTTCCCGGTCAGGTGAGCTCCCACACCGGGTTGTTGTACTGTTTGCAAGTTCTTCAATATATTGGTTACTGCACTCTGAACCTTTGTGTGTTTAGCCGCCACACCATGCTGCACCTATCCAACATACACATGCCCTGTAGTCCAAAAATACTGGTCTTTAGTTTTGTGATATCATCCACCTTATTTCAGACCACCCTAACACCTGATCTCTGTACTGCGTAGCTAAATAAACATCCAGAGGAGCTTACTCTAACTGACTTAAAATTATTACTATAGGTAACTATGGTCTCTAAGCAGACGATCACATGAGCTTGGAAAAACCCTCTAGTTGAGACCAAAAACCGTGTTACACAAATCATGATACACACACTAATGTAGCACATACCCCACAGGAGCCACTTGACAGATGCCCAGAGTTCTTTTCCTAATATTTGTCCACAGCCAGGCACACGGTCACTGTCACTCTTTGGCTCAATGGACAGTCCAGGGGAATTCTTTTTTGTGTTTTATTTTTGGGAAACTTGGATAGGGATAGGGAATTGAGTGGGATACTCCAAAACTATGTACAAATAGGAGGACACTTTTTCTTCTGTAGAACTATGAGCCAAGTCCTTGCACAAGTAAAAGAACTGGACAGGAGCCGCTGTCAATCAGTACAGAAACGGCTGAACTATGGGCCTGTGATGTTACAGATATACAATGGGATTGCAGGCCCATCATGTTTTTGCTTGCTTAAAGAGACTTTGTCAAGACTTCTAATCCTTCCCCACGATAGCCACAACTAAGACATTTCCAAAAAAGTAATGAATATAACACTGATGATTTGAAATACTGAATTACATGACTGCACTGTTTTTTTGCATCCATTCCAACTATCAATTAATATAATGTATGCAATCTTGCCTGCAGATACGAGTTGGCCTACACACTGGTCCAGTGCTAGCTGGAGTGGTAGGTGAAAAGATGCCCCGATATTGCTTGTTTGGTGATACAGTAAATACAGCTTCACGGATGGAGAGTCATGGTGTTCCTAATAAAATTCACCTCAGCCCAGAAGCCTACAGGTAAATAGTTTACTAACAGCAATAGCAGTGCTGCAGGTGTAAATGCAATGAACCAGGGGATGATAATTTTGATGGGATAGTGTGGAATACATATGGGTCGATTTACTAAAGGCAAACAGACTTTCAGCTTTGCAAGGGAATTTTCCCCAGTGCTCAGTGAATGAGGTGAAGCTTTGCTGACTGCCATCAGCCAGACAGGTTCAAATAATTTTTTTTTTTTTTTTAATTCTCATGCGCATGACTGTATTCTTTGCAAAGTGAAATGTCATCACATTCACTAACCTCTGGGGAAAATGTCTTTGTAAAGTGCAACTTCCCTTGCAAAGTGATCAGCCTACTTGCTGTTAGTAAATTATGCTATATACTTAAAGCAATACTAAAGGTTCTTTATTTTGTTTTTGTAAAAAAATTACCTGCTGTGTGCAGTGGTTTTTGCACAGAGCATTCTGGATCCTCCTCTTCTTGGGTCACCCACAGGCTCTACTGGCTCCTCCTTTCTGTTGGGTGCCCCCATAGCAAGCAGCTTGCTATGAGGGCACCTGCTGCTCCGTGTGTCCATTCACACACGGAGCCAAGGCTTAGCCCCACACCCTCTCTCCTCATTGGCTGACTGGCTGTGATTGACAGAAGCAGGAGCCAATGGCTCCCGCTTGCTATATCAGCCAATGAGGAGGCAGAGACCTGGGACAGCCAAGGCTGTTGTGCACATCGTTGGATCTCGATGGGGCTCAGGGAAGGATTGATGGGGCTGGGGGCACTGCTGCACACAGAAAGTTTTTTACCTTCATGCATAGAATTCTTGAAGGTAAAAAAAACCTTGAGCCTTTACAACCACTTTACATACTGAATTATGGACTGCAGCTCTACTTAAGATAATAGCAAGCAAATAAAAACCCCACCACAGCTGGGTGAATTTTAAACACAAATAAACACAAATAGTAGATGCAGGATGTGTTCTCTTCCACTTGTTTGTTAGTATCATCTGCTCAGGGTCTTTGATGCAATGTGTGACAGCAACAAGAACACACTTTTCTTTCATTGCTTGAGCACTCTGAGGAGGGAACCTACACTTCATGCCCCTAAGTGAAACTTTCAGTGATCACCCTCTAACATTAGAAGGCAAGGGTAATAGCATAAAGGTAGGGAGGGGTGTGAGAGGCTCTTTACAACACTTTCCAGTGTTACTAACACAATATATTGTATAAGGAGTTAGTCAGCACAACAAAAAAGTATGGAATGACATATGTTATAATTTCACAAAAGCTGCTATACACATAGACTCTATATATGATGTGCATCACGAAACAGTAACAGCAAACTGCAGCATCATAATTATCTTATTGGTGATACAACAACCAATAGCATGTGCATACAACGGTTTTTAAAGTTTAGAGACCCTGTATACTGAACACTAATGTCTGCTGTTTTTTGTATATATGTGTGTCTTATCTTTTTATGCTAATTTTATATGTGATATCCACTTACTGTGGAGGGTCTCTGACCCTTAATACTATTGTATACACATGCTGATTGTTTAGTTTGCAAATATGGGTTGAGAGGTCACCTGAACTCTTACATGTGCTGCCCTGTAAGCCTGTAGTTAAAGCAGAACTCATAATAAAGTATAAAAGTTGCACCTGAACCCAGGTTTTTCAGAATATAATGCTCTTTTTGCCTTGGGGAGGATATAACGGAATAAAACTTACCTTACTCCACAGTCAGTGCTCCAGTCCTCTTCAATGCCGCACCAAAATGAGGATGAGCACTCCAATGTCATCCTGTACAATCCATGACCGTCAGTGGCCACTAGTCCTGCACTGTACATGATGATATCAGCAAGGGGGGCAGTGATGTGGCAGGCTGGAGGGAGACCAGACAGAAGAATAGCTTTTTAGGATTGGTTGTCACTACTGAAACCAGCATACAGAACCATGAAATAAGGGGAGGTTTGCCAGTATTAGATGTACTGTTTGACAAAACAAGCAATATATTCTGCTGGGATCAAACATTCCTGCTAAGGTTTTCAGATAGCTTACGTGGCAGCAACTGTGTTATGGTGACCTCTAAACCCCAAAAGTCACATTCACTAACTAAAGAATATAGTGTGTATAAATATTTTGTATAGATTAAAAAAAAGAGCAACATTTAAACAGAAAATTAAGGATTATTAAGAGAGTCAGTTGGGGAGGGGAGCTATGTGGGAAAAACAAATCAATTGTAACTACCATAATAACACAAACAACTAAATGAGCTTTTGTATCATCAAACAAGAAAAGACAATGCTACAGTGGTATACTGTTATAGCGATATTAATGATGATATGGTGCCCCATTTTAGTGGCCACTCCTTCTCTATTTTATTTTCACCTAGAGGTCTCAGAAGTATACCAGGAAGGCCACATGTCTTCTTGGTTCTCCATGTAGGCTTTACTGACCTAAAGGGTCCTTCAATATAAATCCTTCTGTGCACTTATCAGCTACTGGCAGTCATCCTTGGAAGACAGCTGTGCAGATCTTGGCACATGAGATTAGAAGTAGTGTGTAAACTAGAAAGAGCTGCCATGACCATGACAGATATTTATGTGTTTACCTCTGCAGAGCTTCTGAATTTCTCCAGGTAGTAAACTGAAAATATAAGAGCAATGTTTCATATAGGAAGAAAAAAAATATGACAATTGTTTTTTTTTTTTCATTTCTACAGATGAGTTAATGCTGCCCTAGAGACTTCTATAAATAATCGTTTCTTGTCTTTTGTGTCTTTCTCAATTTAGATGTCTTAGAGATAAAGAATTTGAAATAATAGCACGGGGGGAAATCGAAGTAAAAGGCAAAGGGAAAATGTGCACCTATTTCCTAATGAGAAACATAACAGCACAGGAAAATGAAATTTTAGGTAGACCTGGGAAGGAGACGGACTCAGGCAGGGAATCCTCCCAATCTGTGCATGATGACCTCAACAAGGGGAGCCTACAAATGGCTTGTCCTCAAGGTAAAATTATTTACAGCAGTAATTTATAGCTCTAATGCTAAATACCGTATTTGCCAGCGTATAAGGCGACTGGGTGTATGAGACGACCCCTTAATTTTCCAGTTAAAACATAGGTTTTGGGCTATACTCGCCGTATAAGACTACCCCGCTTCCGAGGCAACACCTTTTAAAAACATCAGATTTGATTTAAATAATTTTAATGAAAATCGTTATGACTTACCAGTACTTAAAATCTTTCAAAATCCTCATCATGTTCATCCTCTGACATCACAAGTTCATCAATGACATATTGTGATACATTACAACTTTCAGTTTAAAAACTGGGTTCATATTTCCTTCTTCTTGCTGGAGCCATGATAGGGTCTTGTCTACCAGCCATTTTCTTTAAATACACCCACTAATCTGTCAGCCTGTTGGATGTGAGGTACTACTGTATGTACGATAGCTTCGGCTACATACAGTATACATACAGTATACCGCGCTGAGCCAATAACGGTGAGTGATGTATTCTATTAATGAATACAAAGCCTGCTCGGATGGGCTGTGTAAGAAAGGTGGGCTGATGTCACAGTCTCTGCAAATCCGAGCAGGCTTTGTATTCATTAATAGAATACATCACTCGATGTGATTGGCTCAGCGCGGTATATTGTATGTAGCCAAAGCTACCGTACATACAGTATTACATCCAGCGGAGTGACAGATTAGGGATGTTCATTTTGAGCCAGCTTGGCCAAAACAATCTAAAGGTTCACATTGTATACCCCGCATATAAGACAACCCCTGATTTTTGGGGTATGTTTTTAAGTATAAAAAGTTGTCTTATACACTGGCAAATACGGTATCTCAGATGCAGTAATGCAGTTTGTTTTCCTCTGCAGCTACACAAGATGAATTCATCCAGAACTCATGTCCTCCAATACCAATGAACTATGATGACAGTCCAGTTTTCTGTAATAAGGAAGTGCCCAAAGATCTCACAAGTATGTTTTTTTAAATTTTGTTTCATTATAAATTGCAATTAACTTTGGGCCAGAGCAGCACAGTGGCTTAGTGATTATCAAGTATGAGTTAAGGTTAGGGCCAAACTCAAACTCAGCCCAGTAAGTTGCAGCTGTGGAATTCCCCACCCCACACTGAGTCTAGCCCGAACCTTAGCTAATCCCTAGAAGTTAGCACCCTTGCCTTGCAGCACTGGGGTCCTTAGTCCGAATTCCAACCTGGAAACTAACTGCATGAAGTTTGCATATTCTCTCTGTACTTGCCTGGGTTTCCTCCAGATACTCTGGTTTCCTTCCACACACCAAAGACATGCTGGAGGGTTAATTTGCTCCTGTCTATATTAGCTCATGTACATGTATGTATGCATGTGAGATAGAGACATTTAATTGTAAGCTCCTTGAAGACAGGGCCTGAGGTGAATATACAATATGTCACGTAGAATAACAACAGTTAAATAACCATAGACTAAAGATAATCAGCAAAGGAAAAGATGTGCAGACACTTCTATCTTTTTACTTTATATCAGCCTTTTTCAATCAGGGTTCCCTGGAACCCAAAGGTCCCTCGAGAAGTTGCTAGGGGTTGATTAAGCAGTGAGCAACTTTTCTGCCTCTCAGATGAGTAACCGCTATGAACATTGTTTTTTTAGCTGTCTGTAAAGGGTGGGCGAATCTTCACAATTATTAGAAATATAAGGAGCTTTCTTCTGACTACCACAGTAATATATTGTGAACCTTTCCCTATGTTTTTTCAAGGGTACCTCCATGTTAAAAAAGGTTGAGAAAGGCTGCTTTTACTGATTCTGTTGTTATACTGTATATCTTTGTCCAGAAAGGCACATCACTGTTGATCCTTAAGGCTTCATGCACACTAGGCGTTTTTTACAGCTGCTGTTTTGGACGTCAGACTTTTTTTTAAGTGCCTCTAAATGCCCCTGCATGTTATACTATGTGTTCATGCACACATAGGCTTTAAGCAGCATTTTCTGACAGAAGGGTTTAGTGGCAGAAAAAAAAAAAACCCTCTGCCAGTGCATTCTGGAGCAGCAGCATTTTGGTAGAAAAAACACGCTGAGAGCTCCTAAATTCTACTAAACTATTCTAAACTCTACTAAATGAGTTTTGTTTTCAATGGTTGTTAAGGAGAGGGCCGGGAAGCCGGGGTTCCCCACTGCCAGTTGAATGCAAAAAATATTTGCCTGCAATAAAAAATTATGAAAAAATGGCATGAGGATCCCCACGTACAGAGGAATCTATACCAGACCCTTATCCGAGCATGGAGCCTGGCAGGTCAGGAAAAGGGGGAATGAATGAGCGCTCCCCTTCCTGAACCATACCAGGCCACATGCCCTCAACATGGGGGGGGGTGCTATGGTGTGGGAGGATCTCCCCCAAAGCACCTTGCCCCCATGTTGATGAGGACAAGGATCTCTTTCCCACAACCCTGGCCGTTGGTTGTGGGGGCTTATTGAAATCTGGAAGAAATATCCCCCAGTGTAGATCCATCATCAATCACAATGCCAACCTGAAAAAAGAAAAAAAATCCTCTGGTCCTGACTAAGGCTCCTGTCATCTGACAGCTCTTAAATAACTAAAGGACGGGGCCATCCAGTGACGTCACTGGGAGACCCCGCCCCTTAGTTATTTAGGCGCTGTCAGACAGTGGAGCTGCCAGAGGGTAGAAGCCTTCTTCCGGACCAGAGGGTCTTTTTTTGGGTCAGTGGTGGCGGCAGGCAGCGTGATTGATGATGGATCTACACCAGGGGACATTTTTTTTTTTTACATTTTTAATTTTTTTAATAAAGGACTTAAAACTTGTGTGGTGGTTTTATTTACTTTTTATACTTTTTTGGGGGCGGGGATCTGGGCCCCCCTTTTTAAAGAGGGCTTCCAGATGCGATAAGACCCCTGCCCGCAGACCCCTACAACCACCAGCCAGGGTTGTGAGAAGAGGCCCTTGTCCTCATTAACAGTGACAAGGTGCTTTGGGGGTGACCCCCCTTGCCCCAAAGCAACCTTGCTTTGGGCGCTTGCTCATCCCCCCTTTCCTGACCATGCTTGGATAAGGGCTTGGTAGGGATTGGGGGGAAGGACCCTCATGCCGCTTTTTTCACATTTTTTTACTGTTGGCAATGTTTTTTTTTTTACATTTAGCTATCAACTCCTTAACTCATTTGTTGTTAAGAGGTGGTGGCCAGCTTCCCGGCCCTCTCCTTTTTTTAATGCTGAAACTTCTAAACGTAGCTTACACACTAGGCTAAACATTGCTAAACATTGGCAAAAAAGCGTTTTTTGTTCGGCGTTTCTAAAGCAGTTTTTTAGCTTTTGTAGTTTGCATGAGACCTAAAAGTTGATCAGCCATGTTGAATGTTCAGGTTCATTGTTTACTGATAAATATTATTAAATTGGAAGATATACTAATGGTATTCTGGATATACACTGTGTGATATATATACGTGGAGATATGAGTCTGTATTTCTGTGTGCGTATCTGTCTCATAAAAAGCATGGGTTTATGGCCACCAAGCAGCATCATAAGGATCAAGGAGACACTTGTAACACTAGATCACTGCCATACACTATGAAAATGTATGATGGTAGTTGAGCAATATTCATGCATGACCACATTATGCTTATACTGTGGTATAATATTATGAGCTGTCTTCAGCAGTTTTTGTTATGATGGCTTGTATTACATCAGAGTGACAGAACGACGTGTCTTTGACAGGCAGAGTGTATAATGAAAGAAGTAATGGGAGTCTCTGCAATGTCCACCGAGTAGAAGACAGTCAAGTCAATAAAGTATCAAGAGAAAAGCAGGAATCCCAGAATGATCATATCAGATCCCACTTTTGTGTGATTCTGTAATGTTTTTTCTATGTACCATGTTAACAAACACACAGAATGTATTTTGTATGTTGCATACCTTGTCCACATTCTCATATTCCTGTATTTTGATCAAGGGTATTATTTTAGGTGAACAGAAGTAAACATTTTTAAAGGTGAACTTCAGGAAAAACAATTTAAAGTGGAATTAAACCTCTGCAAAAATATTTTAAAAAATTGAACCAACGGGGAGCTTTATGCTGTAATGTACTAGTATGCAAAGCATATTGGCACATTAGGGCTGATTTGCCTGCCAAGCATTCCCCTCCAGCACTGCAGTGTCAGCATTCTCAGGTTTCACAGATGCTTCCATATTCTCCTGGTTTTATTTCCAGGTTTGGATTCTTTGGCCACTTGCTTGGCAGGGCTGCGATCACATCACTTCCAGACATGCGCACAGTTGCAGTCACATCCTCACAGCACAGAGTAGTGCCGTAAATATACAGTGATCTGCACTTGCATGGTTCAGTGTATGTAAATGCTAAAAGGCAGGGAGAAGGGTTCTGTCACAAAAATCAGACATGTCAACATTTTTTAACTTTTTGTAGGTTTAATTCTGCTCAGATCAACAGAAGTACATATATATTGATCTGTTTTACCTGCTAAAGGATTGGTATTTCTGACCATTTAGTCCTGAGATTTATACAACTGTGCCACACTGCATATCCCTGTCTGGCGGGGAGGAGACTTGATTTTTCTGTTCTGCAGTTGAGAAACACTAACGGTTCTGCTCACCATCTGCACCCTGTGACTGAATACTCAAGAAAGAAGCAGCAGACTGATGAGCTCACCCCTCTCACCCTGCTCTCCTCTTCTATCAACATGCTACTTTCAATGCAGCACAAATCTCTTTGTGCTGATTTTTCCTCCTTCAGTCTGGGCATTGCTGTAAAAGATCTACAATATGCTGATACCAGGTCAAATTCAGGTACTCTATTTGCAATTAGAAAAATATATTCATTTTGAATACAGTAAAGTATATGTTTTTTATATCTGAAGTTCAGCTTTAATCAAGGGCCAACAAAGATCGATTGCATGTTGATATTTATAGAATAGGTTTTAAAAACTTTCATGGCTAAAGTGTAAACTTTTTGAGCTATTTTGAGACATTTTACAACAAACGTTCTAGAAATTGAAAAATAACTG